TGAGGACGATGGTTTTTATGAATTATTGTTATGAAAAAGATATTTGTTCAGTAAAATAGTAAAAATTTGCTCCCGGGATATTTCAAGTATTTTATCCCGGGGCAAGGGGTGAAAAAATCGCTAAAATACCCCGGGGTGACGGGGTCAGGGTCCCTGGGGTGGACACTCTAGTAATAACTTGACAAGTAAAATAGTTACCCATTTTCTACTTCTAATTTTTTTTAAAAATTTTATTTCGGTGCCTAAAACTTACTTTTCAATTACTATGGTTAAAATGAAATGTGTGTTACCGCACTAATCGAGTATTATGCACGCACTAATTGAATATTGGTTATAAAAAATTTAAGTGCACTAAACAAAAATGCATTAATCAAATGCGCATTAATCCAGGGATCCCTGTACTCTTAGATTGAGAAAATAATTGCAGACCTGAATGACATACTGCTTTTGTTGATAGGGAACTGTATAGATACAGCATCGACATTGCCTCGCTCCGAGAAACATGGTTCAAATGAACATCAAAACTACAGTAAAAGAACTACACCTTCTTTTGGTGTGACATGGGTGGCAAAGGTAGAAGCGATGCTACAGTAAGACTTGCAATAACCAGTCCTATAGTCAAACAGGTGGAATCATCTCCTGCTTATGTCTCTGAAAGGCTGATGATGTGGCGACTCTCACTATACAAGAACCACTTCATCACCACTGTGTCGGCCTATGCACCAATGATGACAAACAAAAGTCACATAAAAGAAGAGTTTTATCTGGCCTAAAGGAAGCTCTTGGATTCGGTTGCTGGTAGTAAGAAACTTTTAGCCCTTGGAGACTTCAATGCTTGTGTTCAGATCATCAAACTTGGAACCACATGTTAGGCCACTTCTGAAGAGGAAAGATAAGCTCAAATGAGGAATTACTTCTTAGCTTCTGCACTGAGCCAGATTTGGTAATAACAAACACATTTTTCAAACTCCCTAAAAAATGGTGTTATAGTTGGTATCACCCATGTTTCCAGTGATGGACTCTCCTTGAATACATTCTAATGCAAAGGTGGGACCTTGCTGATGTCATGTCTATATGAGCCATATGTGATGCAGGCTGTGACACAGACCACTCACTTATCCTCATAATCTGTAGACTAAAGATCATTCTCATTTGGTGCAAAAAACAGCCAGCTGCTTCTTGGAAACTAAACATAGCAAAATTATAAGATTCTGCTTGCAGAGAGAAACTTGTGATCAAGATCTTTGAAGGTTTTGAAACAAATCCCAAACAGCTCAGTCGATCCCAATGCTATGGAATCATGTCGAAAACATTATATATGACACAATCACTGCAGAAATTGGCTTCCATAACAAGGAACATGGCTATTGGTTCAACAAAAATGATGATAACATCCAAAAATTGTTATTTGAGAAAAGACAAGCCTTACTAGTTGGCAGGCACACTCACTAAGCCAATAAGCAATGAAAAGCAGCTAAAGCAAACCTCCAGAAACATCTGCACAAACTTAAAAATTAGTAGTGGCTACAAAAGGCAGAGATATACAGTCCTTAGCTGACAAATATGATACAAAAGGATTTTTTGACAGATCGAAGGGGTATATGGACCAAAGCGCAGAACAACTGTTCTGCCCAAGAGTCTTTATGGTTATGAACTTTTTACAAACAAGTTTGGTATCTTGCAGAGATGGAAAGAACACTGATACTTTGCTGAATAAGACCTCAGTCCTGGATCAGGTGCCACAACTATCAATTGATGCAATACTAGATGACCCAACAATTCTGGAAGAACTTGCAAAGACAATGAAAATGATTAAATTTGGAAAAGCACCAAAAGTTTCAAAAGTGGCAAACTAGTATTAAAACTAGAACTGTTGTATCTTTATGAATGAGGTTGGCATGCTGGAGAACAACCTTAGGAGTTCAAGGATGCCTTAATTGTAACAATCTACAAACGTAAAGAGGATTGAAATGTCCATGGAAACTACTGAGGTGTTTTGCTCCTATCAATCACAGGAAATATTCTGGCTAAAATACTACTTTAACAGCTATAAACAATGTCCAACTTTATATTACCGGAAAGCCAATATGGTTTTCGAGTGAACAGAAGCATGACCTGGGAGGCAAGGCAATAACTCCTACCCAGGTGATGCTCTGTATGCAGAATTATGTGGAGTCAAGGACCTTTATCCATTATCATGGAAAGAAATAAAACGACCAAAAAAGAATGGCCATGCTCACACAACTGGATAGCGAAGTGTCACCTTTGAACCGGAATTAGGAGGAGGCTACTGCATAGGCTGGTCCAGCTCCCCACCAGACATCTAGGAAAAACATTCAGGATTAAGGTGGGGGGTATTCAGCTTTGTCCTCTTCTCCTTGAGTGAAATAAAGAGAACAAACAAAGAGAAATACACCTCTGTCCACCACTGCAGTGACTGGAAACTGAGAGTGGTAAGGACTCCCCTTCTCCTCTAGAAGAGAGGGGGGAGCTTGTGTTGGTGAGTTCTGAGGAACGATGCTCTAGAGACAGTGCAATAGGGGAACCACATTCTCTAATTTGAAAGCAAACCAACCCCGATTTGTTCAGTCCAGGGGTTAGCAGGGATGGGCAAAGTCCCTTTAGGCTTTACTCATCATAGTCCATGAGTGGTGGTCCAGTACTGTAAATTATATTTGATAAAGTATAATTGCACCCCTCCCAGAAAGTGCCAAGGCAGTCTTATGGAACACCCCATCTCCATAGAATTGTTGCTACCAGGACTTTAGTTATTAATCTACTGGTAGCTAGTGTGGATGTGTTAAACCATACCTGACCAGGCAACACTCACCACTGGGTGGGATCCAAGTGAAAATGATGAGAAGATCCCTGAAAATGAGCACAAAAGAAATGAAGTTACTCACATCTGTCACAATTGAACCTGGGCATGTAGAATAGCTATGGGGGAGTAGCCAAAACCCATCGAAGGAGGAGACTGCTAAATCATGTAAGCAATATAAATGTGTTAGATGTGGTCCACATACCAGCCTGTACAATTTCCTGCAGCAGACGATGAAACCAAACTGACAGGACATTGATATATTTCGAACTTGATGAGATGAGACCCGATTTCTCAGCTCCTGCAATGGAAGATCAGAGTGAGCTATCTGAAACAATTGATGAATCCAAGTTGTCAAAGTGATGGGATAAGTCGCGTGATACTGAAGGATCCCAGTGTATAAATAACCAGTGCTGTGAGTCCTGAAATGCTTCAGTGAAGTTTTCAGTGATGAAATGATAAACTACTTAATTGAAACAAATGATCCATTATAGTGTTTATTTCTCCAAACTGTATATTTTACAACATTTAAAAAAATTGTCAACAAATTGTACAAAACATTATGGTATTCTATGCAATATTAAATGAAATATTTGTTTAAATTTTCATTTTTTCAAGTGACTTTCTTAGCTTTGTTTTACTTACATAACAAAGTTGAAAATATATAATATTATTATATGTTACTTCGCATTTTTCATAAGTGTAGTACTTTCAGTTAGTAACCGTATAACTACCCAATATTTTGTTTATTTATCGATTACATTTATGCTTTTCCATGTTTAACCGACATATATTCATTATGTTGGCCCTAAGTTTTAGTATTATTATTATTCCACCATTTAACATCTACTAAACTTACTTTTAATGAATGTTTTATATAAAAATGGTTTCACTAGAACACTGTTCATCATTTTTAAATGAATTACTTCAAATACTGACCTGCATTTTTCATAATTTTGCCAAATCCTGGCCTTTAGTTGAAAGCATTGCATGCTGTACCTACTATTTCTGTCATTATTTGAGAGGATAAGAAAAGTTAAATCAAAATCCTGATTGAAACAAAACCACATTAAATTTATGTAGTTAAGAAAACAAAGTAATATTAATTATTAAACCTAAATATATATATATATATATATATATTACCATGTATTATTCTCTAAAAATTATCCTCTTCAGCATTGACTGTGTTTTTGTCATGTTGTTCACCTTTAAAACTACTGATTGAAAACACAAATAAAAAAAGATCATATAATTCTCGAGTTAAAAATGTCTGTTTAAAGTCCAGCTTGTAGCTACACAAGATGAATATGACCCAAAAATTACAATCCTTTCAGGGAATTGAACCAAGTTTCATCCAATTATGTTAGATTTAAACATTATTGTAGATGTATTTTGGTGTGATTATGATAGCTTATAATCTTATGGTTTGCAACACCAGTAAAGTGTATGCATTGTAGCCATATTACATGTTGATACAAATCACAACTCAAGTTTTAGAGGGCCTATAGCTTAAAAATAATAATTGTTTTTTCATCCCCTTCTATTTCAGATTTACTGTTTCTAAAGCTTATATTTGGATTAGTTTTACATTTGTTTAGTTTTAGCTTTTTAAGTAACATTTTCTAGCTATGTGTGTATGTATTTAAATTCCATAGTTGTGTACACAATGTAAATAACAAATGCTTTTAGTATTAAATTATGGCTGAGGTATGATATGAGTAATCATTTATTTTCTAGAGTGGTGTTTTGGAAGGAGTCATCATTATGTTGGCAGTTTCAGTATTTAGGTAAGATTCTATGTCACTGTTTATCATTTAGATGAGCAAATGTAGGCTGTATATTTATGGTGGGCATGTGACTGTTTGGAACTTTCTGCTACATTTCTGTGGTTGATTTTCTAAAAACAAGAAAAATCCTCAGGTATCATAATTATCATTGCATTAGTATGTTGGAGCATTGTAGAAAATAGAATTTGAAAATTATCTTTTTTTGTTTTGTAAGAGACAGTGGAAATTATAACATATTTACAAGTATGGATGAGTTGTTACATTAACCCTTTCATTACGGGCTGGGTGAAATCCACCCAGCTTGTAAACATTAAAGTATTCTTGAGATTAATTATACTAGGATTTTTTACAATGTAGGTATATGTTTACAAAGTTTTGCAGGTTATTGGTAAACATTACAAGGCTTTTGTACATAAAATATCAGGTTTTTGTATTAAGAATTGAGATTTTTTTAATTAAAGATTTTCTCGTAAAGTTTTTCTTTCAAAATGTTGACTATCCATGCATTAAAACATTTTCAAATTTCACATGCAAAATCTATGTTTTATCCGTTATTGTCACTACTGTATCTCTGTATGGGTTGGTTTGATTTGACCGACTTTGTAACCTCAATAAAAATTAGGAGATAAATATAAATTATGCTTCTTTCGTTCTAGAACGACAACAAATTATAACATGAAAACAGAAATGTTTAGTCTAAATAGCATAAATTTCATAACTTAAAGATGTATATATATATATTATTTTTTATTATATTGACCTTTCGGCCATGCGTGACTAACATTATTGAAGTTGCAATATGTGGCGCACATGCACTCATGTTACCGTATCCAACAATATAAAACTGTCCTTTACAAAGTGATCCGTCTTGGCTGTGTTTTCTAGTTTTTCTTTTATTTACTCTTACACTGTTGTGTTTGGTTATTCATCTTTAACACTGAATTCCGAAGTCCAAGTTACCACTTCAGTAATACTATCTACCAGCACATTTACACAGACTGCAGGTGGAGAAATCCAACTATGGAATTATTGACTCTCTATTGATGAAAGATTGATTGTTATGTGAGTAAACCTTCTTCTCCTGATGTTGCCCATTTTCCTCCTGAACATGCTGATTCTGTTTGGGAAGATGAAGAATTTGACAGCCTTTTTCCTTCACCTGATTTTGCCGTGACTTTCTATGCCCCTACTGCTGAATCAACTCGGCCTAATGTGGCTTTTTTTAGACATGATGTATCAAGTGTGTTCTCTTCTATAAATTTCTCTGATTTCTTATAATCCTCTTTCTTCCATGTTACATGATACCCCCCTTCTCTCAGTATTTTGTGTTTCCCCTTTCCTCAAATATTAGGATTCATGCAGAGCATTTTGTATCTCAGATGCATGAGGGACCTAGCATGCCTAGACCTTCATGGGCTTTGGATCAGTTTTCTGGATCAAGCTGAATTTTCATTTCTTGTTCTCAACAGTTGGAATCACTTTTGCTCATGGGAGGTGGGCCCTGATCATCCTGTTCATTTATCCCATGCCCAGTTTTCTTGCCTTCGTTATACATTATAGACTCTCTTAGAGTACTTGTCCACCATCTATCTCCTATACAAGGTGTTCCACCAAGATCCTGAGGGGTTTTCAAGGGATAACCTCTCCCTGATTACCTCCATGTTGGCCCGTTTGTCTTCTTCAGCTCTTTTCTTACACACATGGTTTCTCTCTTGTTGAGATCTTCTGGGGAGAAATGCTATATTGTCCCAATTTCATTCATCACCTACTTATCTTCAGGAATTACATATAGCCCCTTTTCTCTTATGGTTTGTTTTTGGAGATATTCTTGAGAATTTACTATCCTGTATGAAACAGTGAGACAGCAGTTGGCCCTTTTATCCATGATTGATCAGTTTTTTCATTCTGGGTTTAGACAATCCCCTATTACTGTTTTCTGTCCTGCTTTTTCTCAGCCTTTATCAGTTCTTACCTGTAGGGGGTTCCTCCACTTGTATTTTTGACACAGATGGATAAGTTGCCAATAGTACTAGCGACTACCCTTTGGGTTCTCATCCAGTGGGGCATGCTTGACCGATTTTGTTCTCCAATGGTGCAATTTTGCCACAGATCTTTGGGTCAGTCGGGTATTATCCAAGGGACTTGTCATCCACTTTCTTTCTCCTCTTCCATTATCTTGGGTACCCATATTCTTTCTGTTGCTTTGGGATCCTACCACCAGTCAATGTCTGTCCAAAAGGGTACAGAAAGCCATTGAACCTGTACCTCATCTTTATCCAGGATTTTATTCCAAGCTGTTTGTGGTACCCAAGAAAACTAGGACTGGTGGCCTGAGATCGATCTGTCCCATCTCAATCAATTTTTGATTCTGCCTCACTTTACTATGGAGTCTTTTCTCACCCTCAGGTGGGACTTTTCTCCAGATCTATGGATGACCAATTTAAATGTTTCAAATGCCTATCTGCATATTCCTATATTTTGTTGGTCGAGGCACTATCTTTGTTTTCTTCGTTACAGCGTAGTGTATCAATTTTGCACCTTACCCTTTGGGCTTGCTTTGTATGTATGTCTTTTGTCAAGTGATAAACACTTGCCTGACATATGCATCCTCGTGGATTGTGCTTATACCATTACATGAATGACTTACTTCTGATACCTCATTCCGAATGGGAGTCTGCCCATCACAGTCATCTGCTTCTTTTGGAGGTAGCTCGTGTGGGTTGGTTAATCAAGTTGGAGAAGTCATTCCTTGTAATTACCCAAGATCTTGTCCACTTGTGTGTCTTTTTCAACACTCATCTCAGTCAGTCCCAACCTTCTCCTCTTTGACTCCAATTGATGGAGCTTTCAGTTCTCCAAGCCCTCACTGCTACCTCTGTTACTGCTCGCAAGGTGCTATTGCTTTTGGAGATGTGGTCTTCTATTGGGCCGAGTATATATGAGGTCTCTTCAGTGGATTGTAAATAACCAATGGAACCTCGTGTGGGACCCCTTGAATGCTCCTATTTCCTTTCCTCCTTCCCTTGTTGATGATTTGCATTGGTAGTTAGACAAGGCTCAAATTTCAGTGGGTGTTCTGCTTCATTCTCCTTATTGGATTTACATAACTTCATGGATGCTTTCCTCCATGGGTCGATCAGCAGGAAAGTTCAGATCAGTGGTCTCCAGCCAACAGGTATTACCATATCAAGATCTTGTAGCTTCTCGCTGTACATCCTCTTTTGGATCATTTTGTTCATCTTGATAGGAATTGTCAGATCATGATCTATTCTGACAATTCTATGGTGGTAGCTTATATCAATCACCAAGGCAGCACCCATTCTCATTTCTTTTGTGGTTGAATCTTGGATCTCCTTTTTTTGGGCCCACACACTCAGTATTCCTCTCCTTGTCTGTCATGTTCCAGGTACATTCAACCTTGTTGCGGATCATCTTACCCAATTGGACAAAATTTATCTTACAGAGTGATCTCTTGATCCTCATGTTTTCCAGTGGCTATGACTTTGGTGGGGTACTCCTCACCTGGATGTGTTTGCCACATCCCTCAATACCAAATTACCTCTGTTTTTGGTCTCTGGTTCCTCATTCACTTGCACTGGCTGTTGATGCGTGTGTCCTTGTATCCATCTCCTTCCCAGGGTGATTTTGATAATTCATACAACCTGTATCATGTCCTTTTGACTGCTCCTTACTGGCCGGTACAACCATAGTTTCCATGGCTGCCACAGCTCCAATCTGTGCTACCATTAGCTCTTCCTCCATTCCTTCTAGGTCAAGCTTTGTTGCTGGCATTTCGTTCAGCCCTTCTGCCCTCTGTCTTCAAGCCTGGTTTTTATCCGGTCCTTGACAAGGAGATCTGGATTGTCATGGCAAGTCACTTTGTTTTTAGCACGTTCTATTCTCCCTTCCTCTATAGATGTTTATCAATGAAAGTGGAACATTTTCTGCTGTTGTTCTTTGGGTCAGGGATTTCCCCTGCTCCTCCTCTAATGGATTTCTTCACTTGGCTGATTGATCAGACTTCTGTTTCCTTGATTGCAGGTTATCAGGCTGCTTTATCTCACATTTTTCCTGGTACAGTAAAGTTTTTAACTCTCCTATTCTCTTACTATTGTAGTGTTTTTTCTGGATTATTCGACTTCCTTGGTGCACATTCTTTCCGGATTGGGTATCAATGTGGTCCTTCACTGCCTTACTTTACCTCTTTTTGAACCTCTTTCCTCGTTTTTGATTTTTCACTTATTCCGTAAGACTTATATCCTTCTTCTTTTAGCCTGTGGACACTGTCAGTCGGATTTATGTAATCGATGTTTCACGTACCCTGTATCATTCTACTTATGTTCTCCTTTATCTAGATTAATCTTTCTTTCCCAAATCTTCGGTGGCTCATGAAGGTAATTCCTTCTTCTCATCGATTTCCTTTCTTTCCTTTTCCCACCCATATTTCTGGTCTGATCCAGAGAGACCACTATGTCCCGTATGTGCTCTTCATTGTTATATTGCTTCCGCAGCTTCCTTCCTTGGTGCCAGTTCCTGAACTCTTCATCCCTTGGCAAATATCTTCTGTTCATGACCTTTCTCTTTCCATTCTTACCAATTGGGTTTGGTTTTTAATTTGATTGGCTTATTCTTCCTTGTCTCCTTCCCATAATTTGTTCCAGGTGACTTCTCAGCAGATTAAGCATCTTTTCTTTTTCCTGGTGTCTCATCTCCATCATCTATTGGAGGAAATTCTTCAGTGGGCACATAGACCACATCACATACATTGATCTCTCACTATCTGCATCAGATAGTTGTTTTTATCCTCATCGAGATTTCGTCTTCCACCTGTTGCCATTCTTCAGACTCTGGTGAAACTCTGACTGGGTAACTTATCTTTTTGCATATATACCTCTTATTTTTCAGAGGCATTTTCTTTAAGGATCCTGCTTTGTGACAAGTGGTGTTTGTCCAGGTATACTTAACCTAAACAAACCAGCACTGTAAGGCCATGATGATCA